ACACCTCAGTATCTCCGTCCGAGGTAACCGCAACGTGATTTGTATCCGGAACGAAGTCAATTAAAGTCTGCAAATTGGCCGTAGTGGCGTCATCACGCGCCATTAAAGCTTCTTGGCCGGATAGCTCAGGCCCGCGATTGTTCTTGACCAGCCGCAAGATCGCGAGAGGGCATTGTCGAACCGGGTTTCCGTTTCGCGTGGGAGACCATAGTAAAAAGTTCATGGGACGGGAAGAATAATTAATGGAAATTAGTTGCGCTCTCGAGTGGGGCGTTAAATCCGTCCAGCTTTGCCCCTTCATGCTTCTGAACCTGAGCCGTAAAGCTTTTTATAGTTGTCATAAATGCGGCCGGTGTTTCGGGCCGGCGCTGTCTCGGCGCAACGAGTATCGCAGAATTATGTAATAACTGTAATTCGTGGCCAGTGCGTACAGCCCCGTGATGGCGGATTAACGTAAGGCAAGAGCGGATGGTTGCACTCGTGTAGAAGTTCAGGGATCGCGCGAACGATGAAAGGCCGTCATATAAAATTTCAACCCGGCACTGGTAACTTTACTACCCCGGAATGTGACGATTAATTATGTTCTTTATGGAAATGTCTCATATAAAATTACGTGTATTTTTATCTTTCTTTAGAGAAGGATTAAAGATTGATTTTTTAATCGCTCTTCTAGGAAGGATTTAACGTGTTCGCGGACACCTTGTTAAATCGAAGTCGTGTGTTGAGACAGAAATATGTTTTCCTGGTTGATTTATGTAGCTTCAAAGACTATTCTTTTTTCAAAGAGACTGGTAATTCTATATTGTTATGTTTTGTGAAAGGACATTCTTTGAAACAAAAGATTTTGTTTTTCTTAGTAATAATGCGATAAAAATTTTAGTTAAATTCAACTTATCGATATCTCAATCAGTTAAGTGTGGAATTTAGTTTTAACATTCTCTCGCGAGATGTGTAATAAAATCAATATTATCAATTATTTATTTAACATGTAAACAAATGAAACGATACATTTTTCTTAGTGAAAACAGAAACAAAAGGAAAGAGAAAAATTATAAAACTGATTAATCGTACAATATAAGAACTGATATACTTAAAGTGAAATGAACAAAAGAAAATGCAGAATTTTGAATCAAATTTGAAAACCGGTCATTTGACCGGTCGCGGTATGTTCAGTGTTAAAGTAAAAAACTAAATTAACATGAAAAAGGATTACATGTTTGTTTGGAAAATTAAATAAGTAATTGTTAAAAAAATTAATATTATTTTACGTTCTAAAATAACGAGTATACTCGTGAAACAGAGTTAACTGGTTAACGATATTGTAAATATATCGATTTGCTAATAATATTTGGATGTTAGTGATATATACCAATAACACTGTTCATAATGGCAGCTCTATTTGTTCTCAAATGATGCTATGTTGTAGACAAATTACAACCGTCTTGTCTGCGAAGCTGTTAAATGCTGCGAGGGGTGCGTGAATGGTGAAATCAAGTGTCTCTTGTAATTACAAGTGATCCTGGAAAGACATCACGGGCATATGCTCGATAATGCGCAGCATAATGAGAACACGTAAACATCTCAACGGAGAAGTAATAATTGACGTATACCGGGGAGAGTAATGTTCACGCTTGAAAGTTTAAAGATCGTTTTATATTTCAGGTGCCTTTTAGTTCGTATAAAATGTCATCGTTAAATGGGATTACTTTTACATAGCGTGCTTGTAACTTATTATTTTTTTAATAAACAGTTTAAATTTCAAGGACTGTATGAGTGGAAGTCGCTTAATTGCAATCGAACAAGTTGATTTCTTGGTCACTTTATGAAACTGTGTGGTATATACGTGGATCGTCGCGCCGCTGATAAGTTCAGAGCATGATATAACTTCAAAGTAATCGAAATCTTCCGTAACTCTTTAAGTGGCGAAATCTTTTGGTATACACACACTCATGAATATAAATTATTTTTAAGGTTTCTTGCCATTTCAGGATAAAGGATAAATTGGCAATAATGTCTCGTAATAGAATTCTCATATGTATTTAAAGAAAATAGAGTAACTCTTTAGATTTAAATTATTATTTTTAAATTATTAATATTATTATTATTAATTATTACAACACCATTTTTATTTATTCAAATATGTTTCTTTACGTGACGTGGAAGTTCGTTAAAGAATTAATTGTTTAAAAGTTTTAATTGAAATATTGAACAAAGTTTTGTTATATTAACGAAACAGTTCTTAATTTCAGTTATCAATAAACGTTATAACAATATTTACTTTTTATGCCATTTATTTTATATGTTTATGATAACATTTGTTTTTTTCACGAATTCATAAATATACTTAGTTAGTAAATTATTATCTCTTTAATCTTTCGGTTGATTCTTGGATTTCTTTTCCATTGAATTTTATATACGTTGAATTGACAGGCTCATTTAATGATAATTATAAATATTTACTGCCATTATAGTTTCCATCGAACAGAACATGTTGCAATGTTAAATGACAATTAGTTGGCTTGAAAGCAGAGCAACACGGTGGATGCTATATACGTGTAAAGCAACCACAATTAGCGAATTTGCAAAGGAATTTTGTTTCAAAACGAAAACGCAGAACATCACGCGGGAAAAGCAACTTCAAGAAAAATCGAAAGCTACAATTGAGAACTCATACCGCATTGACTATGTTTTTCAGGCCTTTCACCACTAATTGCCACTTAACATTGCAACATTCTGTAAGCGATGCAAAATTTTGCGATCCCGAACTCTTAAAACCAACATTGAACGAGTTTCAATGATGTAATCCATTCATTCAAATCAATTCATCGAAGTTAAGAGTTACCTGAGAATTTAATCGTAGAAATAAACGATTATAGGAACAGATAATCAATAGATCGTTAACTACAAATAAACAATGACTAATATATGTTAAATTCAATATACTACATACAGGGTGATGCATCTAAAAGAGACCACCTGAATAACTCTGCTGCTATTAGTGTTAAGAAAAAATGCATCAGATGGAATTTGCTCAGTTTCGACAGAGCATTAATCTGATGTTAGTAGCTTTTTGTAGGTGGACGCGTAAAGGACATATGAAGGTCAAGTTTATTTTTTTTTATGGAATGGTATGTTCTTTTACGTACTATCGAGTAGAGCGTTTTATGACGCATGCAATGACCTAGGGGTCAAGGTCAGTAGTGATCTAGGTTAAGTCAATTATGATGGAAAATAATTTACTTTGAGGAAGTGGTCGAACACTTCCTTGCCATCTTCGGTTGTTGATATTACTCGTAATCTCTTGTTATGGGTCGTTAAATATAAATAATCATTCAATCACGCTGTACACTTCACCTGTACATATGATTAGTCGTTTATGAAAATCTCTGCCGAGCGAAGTTATTAGTTTAAGTTTCCGAAATGCGTTATTCAATAGCGGGGAAAGTAGTTATGATATTTGTTTATGGGGTATGTCGCCAAATTGTAAGAGAAGCAGTCCGTTTGTATATTGAACGGTTTCTCGAGATGCCAGACCCTTACGATCTGTCTCCACGAATATTATTAAAAGTTTTCAAGAAACTGCAAGTGTAGGTAACAAAATACGAAGAAGATCCAAGGTAGCAACTGAAGGTCGTATTCAGTTGTATTAGTCGTGTATTATTGTTAGATAAATAAATCAACTATGTTCGACCATTTCCTCAAAGTAAATTATTTTCCTTCACAATTGGCTTAATCAAGACCACGAATGACCTTGACCCATTGGTCATTGTACGCGTCATAAAACGCTCTACCTGATAGTATGTAAAAGAACATACCATTCTATTTAAAAAAATAAAGTTGACCTTCATATGTCTTTTACGCGTCCACCTACAAAAAAGCTACTAACATTAGGTTAATGATCCGTCGAAACCAAGCAAGTTCTATCTCATGCATTTTTTCCTACCACCAATAGCAACCGAGTTATTCAGGTGGACTCTTTTACTAGTCTCAATCTGTATGTATTTACATACTTAGTTACTAGTGGCTTTCAGATTATAAAAGGGTACCGAAAGTTTATAATCACCCCCAAATTAACGAAAGAACCGTAAAAATAGAAGCTAACTGACTGAGAGAAAAACAAATATTCATTTATTTCAAAATATCAATATGTTATAACATCACCAAAAGTATTAGATTTTAATAATTTTCAGATTAAGAGAAATTATCCAAAATTTACATTGGCAATCCCTATACTAACAATTACAGTGGTTGAAAACCCTAAATTTAACCAAAGACACTCATATATTAATTTTAATCTTTTACACTCGATTTATTTTCGATGTTATTGGGTGTAAACTTGTATTTATTTTGAAGGATATGAATGAAAGTAATTTATAGCGGTTAGAATTCAACGTTTTATATTTATTTTATTTATTATTATTATAATAAGATGTAATTTTTATAATCTTTCCAAATGTGGTACTTCTTCAAACAATTCCCAGCGTTCTATAACAAATTTATATTGTCATGTTCAACATGGCATACGAGTGCAAAAGGTTAAAAGACTAATATTCCACTAATATCACAAAGTGCAATTCCTAACCTCGAAATTTCGAAAAGACAGTTCAACTGTACATAGCACACAATCAATCTACTTTCGTAAAATAATTTTACCCTCAACTCGTTAGCAAATGAATCTCCATCTCGATCACAGCACGACATCCGTCGTAGCCTTGTGTATTCTCGAACGTTAACCCGGCAGCCCCAAAGTCGCGATAAACAAGAAAGGACGCGGTATTCGGGGGCGTGAGTAACAAAAAAGAATGCGTTGTCAACGGGTCCAAGTGACAGTGGAAGTTGGAGCAGCGCGTGTACGGAGCGCGCAGCATTTTTCGCAGTGACACGCCGAAGAAATTCAGGGGCAACGGGAGAGAGAGAACGGTCTCCAACGAGGAGGGAGTTTTCGAGGCCGAGTAGGGAGCTTGCGCCTAGCCAGGCCGACTGGTTCGAGCTTGCGAGCTTTCGAGCAGCAGCCAGTCGCCGGCTGCCGGGCCACGACCTCGCATCTCGTCCGGCTCGTTCAGCTCCTTATCGAGCTTTCGCGGTCACGCTTCTCGCTCTTGACAAAGCTTTCATCCAACCCAACTAATTTCGCCATAACCTACCACCCAGTCAAAGCAATCTCTATCATTTCTTTTGATCATAACATTCTTCCTTAACATGCGATTAAACGTCATTTAGTATCGAACGAAGTAATTCTCCCTTTCCCTTATCTTTCACTTCGCCAAGCTCTCGTCCAACTCAAGTAATTTCACCATAACCTACCACCAAATTAAAACAATCTCGATCATCTCTTTCGGTCACAAGGATTTCTTTTAACACGCGATTAAACGTCATTCAGTGTCATACGAAGTAATTTTTCTTTTCCTTTATTTTACTGTTGACAAAAACGAAGTCCAAGTAATTTCACCGTAACCTGTCACCGAACCATAACAATCTGAATCATCCCCTTTAGTTGCGAAGTTTTCCCTTGCCACGCAATTAAACAGCATCATTCAGTGACGAACGAAGTAATTTTTCTTTTCTTTTGTTTTTCGAAAAATCTGTGTTAACTGTTTTGATAGTGAAAATAATCTTTGAACAGTGTGAATAGAAGAGGGTTTGTTTGCTGCAAGTGTCGGAACGGTTCTTTTCTTCTTTTGTGAACGGGAGAGGGAAACAAAGAATCGTTGGTCTGGGATGTCGAATGGGTGATAGATGCAAGATCCGTGAACCACCGAGGGTCGAAGGTGTTTTTCAGCAACGGGCGAACCATGTGAGGCTTCGACCATGAGGGTGAGTGTTGTTGCAGCTTTTCCGTCATCCGCTATATAGTGTGCTGGAACCTTTCACGCGGGATGGTAGTCTGCGTGTCAAGAGTGATATCTAGACCGAGGATCTTCATGCAAAATAGGAATTTCCCAGGTGGTGCAAAGAAATAAGGGTTTAATAGAAACTAACTTCTTCTTCAAGGAATCTTAGTAAACTGAAGATAATTGAAACCAGCGTTTTCCATGCTTACAAACACTGCTTTACTTCTTATTCTACAAACTCGTGTTTATCACAAATGCATAAAATAGTAATAACAAGGCGTCGGGTCTCGACGCAAAATCTAATTCTACAGTGATGCAAAGAAACAAGGGTTGAGCATAAAGTAATTTCTCCCCAAAAGAATCTTTGTAAGTTAAACATATAAAATATCAGAATTTTTAATATTAAAATTAATATTTAATACGATTAACTCGTAGTGCTTATAAAAATTATAACAGTAGATTTTTCAAGCTTTTATAAACATTCATTACAGTATGTAACTATTAACCCCTTACCCTACAATATCGTGTCAGACTCGTAACGAAAATTTTCAATTGAATTTGAGAAATCTAAATGTTGTTAATTCTTTTTGAATATTACTTTTCTATTATCAATCGTTAACTTTTGCAGTAAACGTGTACATAGAATAAGCATTAAAATTTGTTGTGTTCTTAATAAATGACTAACAATAAAGTAGTTGTACCGATCATAGTTAAAAAATAAATCATAGGGCAAGTGGTTAATTCGTAAAATAATTTCACATATTTAACGTTTTTGTATGAATAATTGCGAAACAAGGAATCTGAAACCAGTCACTTTGACTGACACGTAGTTCCAGTGTTAAATCCTTCCGAACGTTCCTCTATTTTATATTATATGCACTTGCATTGGTCATAGAATCATAAAATTCGTTGTCTAGCGATATCGTAAACTTTGGTCGGAGCCGGGCGGAATGTACAAATACAAGGACGACAGGGCCAAAGGAGGACCGGCGAAACGTCGACACGAATTTTCTGTATTGCCACGCTCGTGCCCGCGCTTGCGTCGCCGTTTAAGCCCACCCGTTGCGTGCGCTGATTTATTGTACGCTGAACAAGTCACGCAGCTCGGGGGTGTAATTATTTTCACGTGACTGCTGTCGAGATTAAACTCTCCCCGGAAAGAAGGGGTGTTTTTGTGCCGCTCCTCCCGGCGCCGCGTGTTATTATTTCGATCATCGGCTGCATTTTCTGGATGTTTTAATTCCGGGGCGACCGGAGCACGGTTTTTAACGACGGCTTGATGGATTTTTAGATGTTTCGAGCGGATGGTGGGATTTTACGTTTCAACTTCATTAAGCTTAAACATATTTCGGGCAGTTTTGTCGCTTCTGGTTGCGATAATGAGAGCGAATATGCAGATACTTTTTGCGATCGGTGGCTGTTATTTTGAACCGCGAATTTTATACATTTGCACATTTTCATATAGACTTATATTATTTTGTTTATATGTGTATGTATACGTTTAAACAAATTTACTATGAAATTAATGATCTTTTGCGAGTTTAATGGTTTATTCATATTTTGTGTGATTTAAATTTGCTAATCATTTTATTGAAAAGTTTTATTTCATAATGAGAACAATTTTTAGTGCATATTTCTGAACCGTTTGCTGTCTTGGGAATATTTAGTAAAATACAATTGTGTTGTTTTTCGTGACTGTGTCATATTTATAAATTATTTTTTTTCTATATGTATTGCGCGAAGAACTCTGTGTATATTTACATTTTAAATTCCATTATGTGACTGAATAACAAAATTATTCTGTAATACTTCGTAATATTCTGAAGATATTTTGAAAGCTTATACTTTCACCATAAATTCTGCAATCTACAAATATTTCAATCAATCTTTATATACAAGGCAGGAGGTTTCATATGTTAATGTAATACTGAATGTATATATATATATACTCTCAATATTGAAACATCTTTAAAAATCTTTCTATATTTACTGGTTTAATTACATTAGAAGTTAGTTCAAATGTAATTCATCTTAACAAACTATTGTCGTCGTACATGTGACTGCTATAAATATAATAAGGTTTGTGGCATATAATAATTTAAAAAATCATTTTTCATATTATATTATAATGCACATTGTTATTGTAGTACATTTACTTTATAATAATAGTGGAAGACCCTTAACTATATTCCAACAAGTGTCAAAAATATTGATGGATACTGAAATATAGATAAATTGAATTTGCATATGAATACATGCATCGGATTCATATTATTTAGAAACAATACTTATTATTATGTAAATTCTGTTGCAATGCTATTATAATGTAAATTTGTTATTTCAAACTATCAACGACGTTAATATGTATTTCAAATCCTGTGAATTCATGCTTACATGATATTGTAAAAAAACTACTTTAATACTATTATTGGCATGCGTATTTTATAATAAGTTTATTATTTATATAATCAGTAATAAGTCATAACTAAGCTTCGAATAAGGAGATTAAATTTTTTTATATTCTATTCATAAGGGCTTAGTACAGTTAGAACATCAAAAGAAAACTGTAATATTTTAACATTTTTCTCATATAAAAACATAATAAATTCGTTAAAACTGATAGATCCATAATTAATATCTTCCACTGATCTGCTTTTTTTCAAATCATAGTGAAATTTAAATAAAATGAAAGGGAATACCATAACATTAATAACTGATCTTTTTTCCTATTTTATTGAAAGCAAATTCTTAAATGCGTCTTTACATAATCACTCTTTCTTATAAAGATTCTTTCCTCAAAGGAATTACAAAAATCAAAAGTATTAGCGCAATCTCGATAAGCATGCAAGAGACACGCAGATCTTAGAATATCGGAAATTAGTATACCACAGAGAACCTGCTAGACTAGCATTTCTGTACGTATCGAGTGTACAGAGTATCGCTTCTAATAACTGAATTCCTCAACACCTCATCCATTATTCGTGACACGAAACATATTTTGTGATCAGTTTCAATAATTTCGAGAACAAGAATTCGAATTATATAATAGAATATTTTTCTTAATATCACTATTTCGAATTTTTCTCATCAACAGGCTTATACATTTTCTTGGCATCTTATATAATGTGTTAACTCAGCCAACCGAATAGGAAGATCTCTTATTTTTCCATTATCAATACATTGTCATTTATTTTGTTTATTCCTTTCGTTATTTAATAAACCTTGAAATGAAGATATTCAAAATTCATTAAATATCTTTTTTGTTTTTATGAAAATTTTTCAAAAAATCTATCGAATAATCTCAATTAAAGTTAATGAACAGCTTCTTTCCGAGCGATTGCCTCAATGATAAGATATCCTTGTTATATCTTATGAAGATTCAGGACAAGAAGAAACCAGTGGTTATTACCTACTAATAATACAGCAAAAGTTGCTATAGATAATATAATATAAATTGTAGCTTAAAGTTTAATAGCAACAATGCAAAATGTCTATCTCGGTTTTGTTTTAATTCTAATAATCAACGTGAAATACGGAAAGAAGTGAAACAATCTATTATATTACATATGAGATCATGTATTTTGTGGGGATACAAAGTTAGCTTCCTATATCCACATCATTTTTAAAGAAAGATAAACCAAACAATAAGTATGTAACTTTATATGACCTCTGACTTAAAACAACAGTTGCTTATATTGAATTTTGTATCTACTCACGAATAATATTTCATTTCATGTTAAAATTATTCTACTTATATATATTAACCCTGACGCGACGCACAATTTTTCACCTACTTACAGCCATATGACAAAAAGAAAAGTTTACAACTAGAGTTGCAGCATAAGGAGTGTACAATAGATGTCAATAAAAAAATTTCGAAAACAATTTGTTTTCATGGCGAAATCGTGGCCACCTTGGGTTTTACAAACGGGAACACATGTTTTTTTACCATATCGTAGAGGGCACCGAGATGACTTCAAAACACGTATTACATCTTACATTCTATCATATGACTCGATTTACAGTAATGGAAATGTGAAATATTTAACTTTCCGTCGTATTTAACTTCAAGACAATGTAAACATTATTTGACACTGAAAAGATTACTGTAAATCACTGTGAATACTATAAAAGCCGGAGTATCGAAAAAATTACCAACAACTTGCTACATTCAAATATGTTCAACTTCATGTTATCAAAATGTTATCATCCGTCGTCGAGAAAATGAGAACACAACGGAACGAAAATATATCTAAGTAATCGTAATGTCACTTAAACTACGGAACCATCATTGGGCCGTAGAGGACCCAAATAAACCAGCAAGGTTAAATCACCGTGAAACACCGAGGGGTTACATACATAGCCCCAAGAAGGATTAAATTGCCGTTTATCCATCCCCCGTGCACACATGTTTGCGTACGCGTTGTGTGTATGCGAAGCAAATAGTCTCCCGTGCGCGATTAAATCCATAATGAGGTATTAGACGTGTAATTGGTATTTTCCTGTGGAAAACGTACGATTCATTCATGCCTTGCCGAAGACGTTTCTGGTGCAAGCAGCGTTCGGGTAGATATTTACGATTTCCGTGGGATACGCGGTTATTGTCTCCGTTTCCCGCGAACGTACGAAGCGCAAACTAATTCTTGCCATTGATTAACGCGATACGGATCCGTCTCTGCGATTCTGTGTCGTCTGAAAAGTCGCATTAACCGATTCCCGCCTCGAAATCACGGTGACGGCGGGCTGCAACGTCAACTTCGACATGGAACACCGTTGCGACTCGCTTCCCTGCAGTTTCATCGGATAATCTCGCGGAAACTTTTTCCCCGACGTCAGCTACGAGATAACGAAATATCACCGAAAGACGAGGCGCCGCGATAAGCCGGCGAAACTCTGATGCCCGGCCGGTCGGCCCGTAGATTACACTCGAAACTTCCGAGAGAGCGTCTCGCGTAATCCGTTTAATCGCATTATTAGTACCGA